GATGTCTCCAGTGTGAAAGTCACGGAATCAAATCATAAGTGCGATCTTCAGTGATTCGAGTGTTTCAGCCACACAGTAAGGTGTGGTCAGCTTTAAAATAAAATTCGCTTTCCAGACATTCTGTCCCCAATCAAGGCCTTCTTTGCATCCTCAGCTCACACGACAGGAAAGCGGGCCATGGTGGCGATTCCACACTGGTTGTCCCGGTCCTCGGCCAACAGCATGTAGCCCTGCGTGCCCCGGTCCGTGCCCCAGCTGGAAGAAGACGGCGTTTGCCAATTATTACAAACAATCCAACACATTTCTCTTCATGAACAATCACACCTGATACTGAGCAGAGCACCAGAGGCCAGCACAGATTCTGGAAGAATCCGGAGAGGCTGTTCCTGTCCATGTTTGAGTTCTAACCCAGCACACAATACTTCTAACCCAGACCTTTCACAAAACTGCAGCGTAAGCAGGAAAAGGAAACTCTTGGGGCCAGATGTGTTTCGGAAATTTAAAAAAAAAATGCAATTTAGAAATGCAACGGTACCAAAACTATCTCAGGACCCTAGCAAGCTTGAGATAGTACCTTACTGTGGTCACCACGTGAATATGTCTGCGTTCCAACCAAGTGGGGTAAACACTTCTGGGATTTCAGAAGTGTGCTCAAGGGTTGGGCGACTTGTCTCCAAACACTGATTCCAAATCCCTTTCGATTTCCAAGATAAGTATTCTTGGCTTTTTATACCTGTTCTTGACATTCCAGTATTTTTGGTTCTTGGGTTCTTCTCCTTGAGAGCCATAGACACCCACCAGAATACCGTGATCCAGGTCTTCACTGCTGCAGTTTGGATCATAATAAATGCCTGGAAAGTAAAATCCAATATTGGGGTGAGGGTTCCCATGTGGCATGTGATAGTAACCCAGCGAATCAACTGTGGTAAGGGAGATGTATCAAAATTCAGTTGTGATATAAATCCAGATAAGATTTAAAAGTCAGGTGGTTTTGTTTAGCTAGACTAGAGGTTTAGGCCCTCATCTAATGCTAGCAGAAATACAAATTGTCATAATCTCGTTTGTAAACAGTAGTCAAGAGGCATAAAAAAACACCTGCCACAACCTTATGATTCTCCTTAAAGGATGTGAGCCTAGGGAAACAGCAGAGAACACAAAATTACTTGGGCCAAGGGCTTCTTTCCAGTGTTAAGTTCAGTAGTAACATTCTTTAAAATTTTTCAAGGTCTAACAATTGGAAAAAAGTAAAGCCAGCTATACCAATCAAATTATGTAGCCATTTAAATATATTTATAATGTGTTTAAAATCATGGGAATTTGGGTCAAGTCATGGCAAGCGGAAAGAGCGGGCAGAAATATTACGCATACAGGATGAACAACTATGTTAAATCCACACCACCCCCCCAAATTCTACACTGAATTCTGCATACCAAAGTGTCACACTTGCTGTATGTTAGCGTGGTTTTCCAATCTTCCTACCTGTATCTCTACATAGACAAACGCTTACCTTCTTTATAGAACCGGACGGGATCCAGGCTCGCGCGGACAGCTGCCACGGCCCCCAGAAGGGACGCCCCCTGCTGAGGGATGTTCATGAGGCCAGTGACGTTGGCAGCGGAATAGTCGGGCGTGTATTCGCAGGATCCGTCCTTTCAAAGGGAAAGGGGAAGAGACTTGATTGCTACCATCCACCTCCTGGGGAACATGAGTTCAAGACAGCTTACAGGTAAGGGATTTCCAAGCCAAATTTGTCGTAACGCATTCCAGGAGCTGAAATGCTGGTGGTTGTTTTGAAACTGAAAAACTACCTTGTGTGCATTCAATGAATTATTCTGGGTCTACGTGTCCTTAAGAATGTTTTCACTCGGGAGAAATCTGTATGCTCTATAGAACGCTGTGCATGTCTCCCTGTAGCGTAGAAATAAAAACAGCCCCGTGGTAACCATCTAGGCAGAGAACCGTGCCCGGCTAATATAGTTTAATGAGAGTTCTGACAGTTTCCAGCTGTAGAGTCCACCATTTAAAATGCGAATATTAAATATGGTATCTGTTTTCTTCAAAAGCATGCAACTCTGAGAGCAGAGCTAGAATGATAACAGGTGAGGAGCTCCACTTACCTGTGCACAATATGGATCAGATTCCTCTGAGTCCAGGCCTCCGTTGTTCCGAACATGCTGGAAGGCATAATCCATCAGGCCACCACGGCAGCCCTCGTTGCCTTGAGACCAAGAGCAGTCCAGCAGGTTCTGCTCACTCAGTGACACAAGTTTGCCTGTTTTCCGGAACATCCGTCCTTCGAAGGCACCAGCTGCACCAGAAGCCCAACCAGAAGCACTCTGACCCTGAAATCAAATTATAAAGCTCTCAGTCAAATAGCAAGGCCTTGACAACAGCCCATGGATCTGAAAACTCTTGTTAAACATAGCAAGGGCATATTGTTCCACAGCAGGGAACCATAGCAGGGCTGCTACTTTCTTTTTGGCTTTACTCTTGGAGAGAACTGTGGTGAGTAGTCATCCTTCATACTCACAGGACTGAAACCAGCTGTCTGTCTCCTGTCTACAGGTCCAATGATTTCAGCAAAGAAGGGTATTTTAAACACTTTCCCATTCTTGTCCTTCTGGATTTTAAGGCCATTCATCATGGGCCTGAATTTTTCATTGGTCTTCAAGGAAAAGAAAGTAGAATGTTGACAAGGATGAGAATTCTTTGGCAAAGTACCAAGGAGAGAAAGAACAAAAGGTTCAGTAATCCAAGCCACACTCACCAGGTCACCAAAGGTATTCATTGCCATCGTGAAGCTGTGTTTCCCTTGGCTGTATTCCTGATTGTGCTGTTCAATCATTTTCATATTCGTCTCCCACACTACTCTCCTCCATCTTTCATTCTAGAGACAAACATATAACCCATCATCTTTATTTCTATTTAAAACCAACTGACTTACTCGGTGGATGTGCTGACAGAGAGGGGAAAAAACCTTGACCAGGGCTGGGCTGACGCTCCAGGAGCTGCTCTCCAGCAACCACGCAGCAGGACGTAGGCCCCCACCGTTGTGCAGTCACGGTGCCCTGCTTACTGCCTTGGTTAGAGCGGCCTCAAGCAGCTACTCTCTGCTGTGAACTCCCACCAGCAAAGAACATTCCCTGGGGGTCTCACGGGACAGCTCAGGTGTTACCAACCTCATCATATAGTTTCCCATATGTTGCCTTCCACTGGATCCATTGGGCATCTAAACTTAGGCCAAGTTTTGTAGTAGCTGAGACTATTCCCAAGCAAAGGGCAGTCAGGAAGAGAAAAGGATGCATGTTTCAAAACCTAGGAAGGGAAAAGAAATGAGCATCTGAACAGACCAATCTGTCTAAAAAGCCATCCTCTTCTTCTGAGTTGTTAGAGCTACTATGATGGAGTAAAAATATAGAATTTATCCTCCCAATACATATACAAGAACTGGACTGGCCTCACCGATGGGGGGTGGGGGGCGCTCACCTGATAGTGCAGCTCTGCAAGGGCCGACAGCAGGTGTAGCTCTGGGGCTCTCTGATGTTGGGCTGTAGTTTTAAGGCCACTTATCGAAAGCCCTGGGGTTTGGCCTGGCTGGTCCTGCCCACACCACCTGGTCACACTGTGATCCCGTTGGTTTTGCTTTTGTTTGCCAAGCTGATGACTTCTGATGTTTTCTTGATGATTATATCTTGTTTTTGACAGAACAAAAACTTCTAGACAATAGTGTGGACTCATATCCCTACCTCAAATTGTCCTTAATCGGTTTGACTAAAAACAATGAGCTCAGGGTAGTTCATCTAAGTGACCAATGAGTTCACAGTGGTCTGGCTTACAAAAACAAATCTATGCATATTCAACAAGGGAGAAGATGTACAACTCCCGTTAATCGATGCCATTATAAGACAGGAAGGAAGTGTGCCATAAAGGTGCATTGAAATATATTTTGTCATTGTATGCTATCAACTATATGTCTAGCACTGTGAAAATATCTATATTTTTAGACATTTTTCTCACAACTCAGGTCAGATAAGCTTATAATCATTTTATAGATGAGACGAGAGAGACAAAAAGAAATTTGGTGAGCCATTCAAAAGAATAATAAAGTTTCTCATGGTTCATCTCCCTCTCTGATTTCTCCCCCTTTGGATTTCCCTCATTCCCATTCCCCTATGGTCCTCCATGCTATTGCTTATGTTTCACATACGAGTGAAACCATATGATAATTGTCTTTGTCTGTTTGACTTACTTCACTTAGCATAATCCCCTCCAGTTCCATCCATGTCGATGCAAATGGTGGGTATTCATCTTTTCTGATGGCTGAATAATATTCCACTGTGTATATGTACCACATCTTCTTTATCCATTCATCTGTTGAAGGGCATCTTGGCTCCTTCCACAGTCTGGCTATTGTGGACATTGCTGCTATGAACATTGAGGTGCACATGCCCCTTCTTTTCACTGCATCTGTATCTTTGGAGTAAATACCTAGTAGTACAATTTCTGGGTCATAGGGTAGTTCTATTCTTAACATCCTGAGAAACCTCGATACTGTTTTCCAGAGTGGCTTCACCAGCTTGCATTCCCACCAACAGTATAAGAGTGTTCCCCTTTCTCCATATCCTCGCCAACATTTGTTGTTTCCTATTTTGTTAATTTTTGCCATTCTAACTGGTGTAAAGTGGTATCTCATTGCGGTTTTGATTTGTATTTCCCTGATGCCAAGTGATGTTGAGCATTTTTTCATGTGTCTGTTAGCCATTTGTATGTCTTCTTTGGAGAAGTGTCTGTCCATGTCTTCTGACCATTTTTTGACAGGTTATTAGTTTTTTGAGTGTTGAGTTTGAGAAGTTCTTTATAAATCTTGGATATCAGCCCTTTATCTGACAAGACATTTGCAAATATCTTCTCCCATTCCATGGGCTGCCTCTTACTTTTGTGACTGTTTCCTTTGCTGTGCAGATGCTTTTTATCTTGATGAAGTCCCAAAAGTTCATTTTTGCTTTTGTCTCACTTGCCTTTGGAGACGTATCTTGAAAGAAGTTACCATGGCCAAGGTCAAAGAGGTAACTGCCTATGTTCTTCTCTAGGATTTTGATGGATTCCTGCCTCACATTGAGGTCTTTCATCCATTTTGAGTTTATCCTTGTGTATGGTGTAAGAGAATGGTCCAGTTTCATTCTTCTCCATGTAGCTGTCCAGTTTTTCCAGCACCACTTATTGAAGAGACTGTCTTTTTTCCATTGGATATTTTTTCCTGATTTGTCAAAGATTAGTTGATCATAGAGTTGAGGGTCCATTTCTGGGTTCTCTATTCTGTTCCATTGGTCTATATGTCTGTTTTTGTGCCAATACCATGCTGTCTTGGTGATCAGAGCTTGGTAATACAGCTTGAAGTCAGGCAACGTGATGCCCCCAGTTTTGTTTTTCCTTTTCATCATTCTCTTGGTGATTCAGGGTCTTTTCTGGTTCCATACAAATTTTAGGATTTTTTGTTCCAGCTCTTTGAAAAATACCAATGGTATTTTAATAGGGATGGCACTGAAAGTGTAAATTGCTCTGGGGAGGATAGACATTTTAACAATGTTTATTCTTCTAATCCATGAGCATAGAATGTTTTTCCATTTCTTTGTGTCTTCCTCCATTTCTTTCATAAGTGTTCTGTAGTTTCTAGAGTATACATAGCCATCCAAGCCTCTCTCAAAAAATTAGAAAAATCCCAAATGCACAAGCTAACCCTACACCTGAAGGAGCTGGAGAAAGAACAGTACATAAAATCTAAACCAAGCAGGAGAAGAGAAATAATAAAGATTGGAGCAGAGATCAATGAAATAGAAACCAGAAAAACAGTAGAACAGATCAATGAAATTAGAAGCTGGTTCTTTGAAAGAATTAATAAGATCGGGGTGCCTGGGTGGCTCAGTCGTTAAGCGTCTGCCTTCGGCTCAGGTCATGACCCCAGCGTCCTGGGATCGAGCCCTGCATCGGGCTCTCTGCTCAGCGGGAAGCCTGCTTCTCCCTCTCCCACTCCCCCTGCTTGTGTTCCCTCTCTTGCTGTGTCTGTCTCTGTCAAATAAATAAAATCTTTAAAAAAAAAAGAATTAATAAGATCAATAAACCACTAGCCAAACTTATGGAAAAGAAAAAAGGACCCAAAATTAATAAAATCACAAATGAAAGGGGAGGGATCACAACTAACACCAAGGAAATAGAAACAATTATTAGAAATTATTACCAGCAACTGATGCCAACAAATTAAGCAACCTGGAAGAAATGGATGCCTTCCTGGAAATTTACAAACTACCAAGACTGAAACAGGAAGAAATAGACAATCTGGATAGACCAATAACCAGTAATGAAATTGAAGCAGTAATCAAAAACCTCCCAAAAAACAAAAGTCCAGGGCCAGATGGCTTCCCAGGGGAATTCTACCAAACATTTAAAGAAGAAATAATACCTTTTCTACTGAAGCTGTTCCAAAAAAAAAAATAGAAACGGAAAGAAAACTTCCAAACTCCTATGAGGCCAACATTACCCTGATCCCAAAACCAGGCAAAGACCCCATCAAAAGGAAGAATTACAAACAAATATCCCTGATGAACATGGATGCCAAAATACTCAACAAGATCCTAGCTAATAGGATCCAACAGTACATTAAAAGGATTATTCACCACGACCAAGTGGGATTTATTCCTGGACTACAGGGGTGGTTCAGTATTCCCAAATCAATCAATGTGGTAGAGCACATCAATAAAAGAAAAGACAAGAACCATATGATCCTCTCAAATGATGCAGGAAAATCATTTGACAAAATACAACATCCGTTCCTGATTAAAACTTTTCAGAGTATAGGGATAGAGGGAACATTCCTCAATGTCATAAAAACCATCTATGGAAAGCCGACAGCAAATATCATTATCAATGGGGAAAAGCTGAGAGCTTTTCCTTTAAGATCAGGAACACGACAGGAATGCCCACTCTTACCACTATTGTTCAACATAGTACTAGAAGTCCTAGCCTCAGCAATCAGACAACAAAAAGAAAAAAAGGCATCCAAATTGGCAAAGAAGTCAAACTCTCCCTCTTTGCAGATGACATGATACTTTATGTGGAAAACCCAAAAGACTCCACCCCCAAATTACTAGAACTCATACAGCAATTCAGTAATGTGGCAGGGTACAAAATCAATGTACAGAAATCATTTGCTTTTCTATACACTGACAATATAACTGTAGAAAGAGAAATTTAGGAATCAATTCTATTCACAATAGCACCAAAATCCATAAGATACCTAGGAATAAACCTAACTAAAGAAGTAAAGGATCTATATTCTAGAAAATGACTCTTTGTTTCAGCTCAGGTCATGATCTCTTGGTCATGATCTCTGGATCATAAATCTGTGCTGAGCACAGAGTTGGCTTCAGATTCTCTCTCCCTCCCCTTCAGCCCCTCCCCATGCTTGTTCTCTCTTTCTCTCTCTCAAATAAGTAAAATCTATAAAAAAAAAAAAAAAAAGAAAGAAAAAGAAAGGTCCATTAGGCCAGAGTTTTTGAAAATGTTTTGACTATGACCATTAATAACAGATGCATTTTACATCTAATTCAGAGAACATGTGTGCAAGCATGCACACACACATGCAAAGCAAAAGTAAACTGCCTTACTGTCTACTGTGCTCTAAGATATTTTTTTTCATTCTTTACTTTTCTATTCAATTCTGTTCTGTTCTAGTCTGATCTGATCCATACTGTTCTAGTCCATTCCATTTGTTTAGATTGCATTTCATTTGAAAAAAAAATATGTTAGTAATGACCTGTTAAATGGATTTTATTACCCATTAATGAATTTTCATCCACACTTGAAAAAGTGCTGTACTGGGCAGCTTCTTAGACATTTTACTACATCATAAAATTAATCTACAGATTCAGAATGGAGACAGTGAGACAAAAATAAAATAAAAAGGAATGTATGCATTACATACAGAACAGGGTAACATCACTCTAATAGCCCATAGATGGCTGCCCATTATTGCACCCAGTATGTTGAACAGGTGGGACTCGTGCAGTGGGATCTAAACAGCAGGTTATTCTGATCTCCTCCTCACTCTGCAACAGCTGTTCAGAGGAGTAGTCCCTCTTAGAAAACAGAAAGTCAGTGTTCACTTAACATGGAAACGGTAGACTATTGAGCCCAACATATTAATCAGTATTTCAATACCGATTCAAAGATGAGACCCCTCTCAACAGCAAAGGCACATATTCCCCAACATAAGGCAAGTCTCCAGAATCCTCCAGTTGTTTTTTAACGT